CCATTGCTTGCTGTTTGACCACCGACTGCTTTGACTTCATTTTTCGAGGTTATGCAAAACAGGAACATGATTATAAGCGCAAATATGTTTTTATTTGTCATGTGTTTTGGCGATTTAGTTGGCCTTAATGTAGTCAATACTCGTGCTTTTGTTGCATCCGTTGACTTTTTCTGATTGCTGCCTGACGATGTAACTAGGGGACATAATTTATGGATTGGTCGTTTCAGCACACTATTCTGTAGTTTAAGCGTTACTACACGAACTTTTCCATCCAGTCCTGGATTACATTCCATAACTCTACCAAGCGGCCATTTAGCTGGTTGAGTATTTTCATCCTTTACGATTACAACATGACCTTCTTTTAAATTTTGATGTGATGTTTTCCACTTGTTTCTTTGCTGAAGTGTGTGTAGGTATTCCTCCTTCCAGCGTTTCCAAAAATCACGCTGGATTTTTTGTATTACCTTCCATTTGTTTAAAGTGGATATATTTATGTCAGATTCTCATGTTGGTATGGATATCAGTGGTCTCCCAATAAGAAAATGGCCTGGAGTTAAAGCGTCTACTCCGTTTTCGTCATTTAAAGCATATAATGGACGTGAGTTTAATGATGCCTCAATCTGTGCTAGGACGGTTGCCATCTCCTCAAACGTCAGCTTTGTTTCTCCGATTGCCCTTTTTAAGTGAAATTTCATCCCTTTCATACCAGCCTCCCACATTCCGCCAAAATGTGGCCCTGCCGGGGGATAAAATGCCAAGTAATTGCTTCATTAGCTAAGATTGGTGCAACTTCACAGTTTTGTTTTACTGCTTTTTTAAAGCCGTTGTCGAGCCATCTGCTTGCACCCACGAAATTAGTTCCATTGTCGGAGTAAATGTGTAGAGATTTCCCTCGTCTGCCAAAAAATCTTCTTAGTGCCGCCAGAAATGCTTCTGTTGATGAAAGCCACTTGGGTCCGTTCCACCAAATATCCATATTTAATAATTTGGGAGATGGAATACCTCTTGACGGAACATCTGCTGGATTGTCTTTCGTGTTCACGTGTCTCCAGGTTGCTTGTGGTATAAGTTTTTGGATTTCTTCCACTCGATTTCTAATGAATTTGTCTTTGTTTTTATGATTTTCAATCCAGCCAAGGGTTATTGTTGAATCACTCCATGCATAAGCTTTATGATTCCTCGCAATGATCATGCAAACTTTATTCATTAATTTGGCTAGTAAATGAGCAGCACAGAGTTCCAGCTTAGGTAATGTTTTCCGATTTTTTAGTGGATTAACTTTTGTTTTGGCAGTTAAGTTTTATGGAATCGCCAACTTTGATATATACCACTGCAGCGTACGCCTTTTCGGAAGCATCACCAAATCCGTGAATTTCTACTTCACATTCCATGTTAGTTTCAATCCAGCGTGGAATACGTACTTCTTCCAATATGCCAACAGTGTCAATAAACAGCTTCCATTCATTTTGTAGATCATCAGAAAGCTGTTCGTCCCATCCAGCCTTTTCAATCCAAAGCTTTTGCATGTATAATTTTGCAACCACAGTGATTGGCGATAGCCAGCCCAACGGATCAAATATTTGGGCGATTTGTGATAAAATACTTCTTTTTGTCATTTTCTTCGGCATTCCCAAATTAATTTTGAACTGGAACTGATCTTTCTTTGGATCCCAGTATAGCCCAAGTGTTTTCACTGCTTCATTTTCTTTTATTTGAATTACTTCATTTTCTCCCATGGTGGTGATATTTTTGGTAATATTGTCGCAATTCCATAGCCATTTCCTCAAATGAAATCCAAATAACTGAAGGTGCTTGCTGATTTCTTTTTGGATCATAATACGTTGATTCACCGAATCTCCACCAGTCATGAGATCATCCATATAAAAATCTTCCTTTATGATTTTTTGTAGCCAATTGTTTTTACTTGAGCACTTGTTGGCAATTTCAAATAATGTGCGCACTGCTAAATATGGTGCTGAAGCGGTACCATATGTCACTGTCGTCAACTCGTATTCCTCTATTTTATTTGAAGGATATTCCCGCCACAAAATTCGATGATACACTCTATCTTTTTCCGAAATTTTAATTTGCCGGAACATTTTTTCAACATCAGCTGTGATTACCACTTTCCATAGTCTCCACTTGAGAATAATATCAAACACATCCCTTTGAAGTTTGGGTCCTGTCAACATGATATCGTTTAAGCACTTTCCATTTGAAGTTTTGGCTGACGCATCAAACACAACACGAAGTTTTGTAGTTAATTTATTCTCGCGTATAACAGCCTGGTGTGGCAAATAGTATTTTCCATTTACCTTCTCGTTTGCTTTTATCATATGCCCAAGGTTTTGGTATTCGTGAATGAATTCCTTGTAATCATTGCCAAGCTTTTCACTCTCTTTGAACTTGGCTTCCATGGATAGCAGCCGAGCAATTGCCTGTTTACGAGAGTCACCCAGCTCCATGTCGTCTTTAAATGGAATTTCCACAATGAATCGCCCATCTGCATCTTGTTTAGTGGTTTCCTCGAACTTTTTCAAACACATTTCGTCTTCCACTTTAGCTTCTTCATCTTGTTCTTCCTCTAGCTCCCAAAATCTCTCAAGGTTGGTTACTGCCGATGTGACTTTGCCTGGTTTCTTTTGTTTAATTATTCCAGACAAAATCCAACCGAATTTGGTAGCTTGTGCAAGAACTCCATTGTGCTTTTTTATGCCTCTGTCTATTATTCTGCCGAATATATCACCACCAATCACCATGTCAATTCTATCAGCTTTGTTAAATAATGGGTCAGCAAGAGTGTAGTTTTCCCATTTTTTAAATTTGAACCTGAAGGATTGATCAGGTTGCGAGTTGTAAGGGTTGATAAAACTATAGCATCCACTTCTTCGACGTGCTGGCTTAGAAAACGTGGTGCAATTTGCACTTTAATTTTAAATTTCGATTCACCAACCACAACATCTCCTAGGCTTTGTCATCACTTTTTTCTTTGGTACACCTAATATCTGTGCTGCC